ATGAGTCTTGGAGGAACATTGCTTAAGGGTATTCCACCCGCTGCTGCCTGCTATGAGGGCGAGTACAGGGATACTGCAAAGTGTTCAAACGTCAGGCGACGTCAAAGCGATGCTCTTTTCGCGTATGTACTTGCAAATCTTGCCCTCGGCCGAGAGCTAACTTATTTCATCTAGCAAGGAAGACCCACTGGTCCCGTTTGGGCAGTGGACTTTACACAATCCATGCCCCGTACCTGCAGCTAGCGCCACGCCTCCGCTGTCTGGCTGCAAACTCGTCAGCTTTCCTGCATTTGTCGTCAATGCTACTACAGTCAAAGACGTGCAGCTCGCAGTCAACTTTGCCAGGAACAACAATATCCGGTTGACGATCAAGTACGTGCTCAAGAAAGATACCAGTCGCAAACTGACCATTGTAGAAATACTGGCCATGACTTCCTCGGCCGAAATACCGGCGGCGGCGCACTTCAAGTCTGGGTGCATCGCATGAAAGCATTCGAGTACTTACCGACTTACAAAGTTGGTCAGTATAGTGGTCAAGCAGCCCGAGTTGGAGCAGCGCTCGAACAACAGGAAGTCTACGACGCCATGAGTACATATGGCATAACGCTTCTAGCTCCAGGGTCTTCTACCGTTGGAGCGTACGGCGGTTATATGCAAGGTGGAGGATTCTCGTACATCACTTCAAAGTATGGTCTGATGGCAGATCAGGTACTTGCTTTAGAGCTCGTCACCGCGGACGGCAGGTTCGTGCATGCAGATCCGATGGAGAACGCGGACCTGTTCTTCGCGATCAGAGGTGGTGGGCCGGGTAGGCGTCCATGGTATCATCACAACTATTTTCTATACTGACCAATAGCAAAGGAAACTTCGGTATCGTTACATCTGCCATCGTTAAAGCGTATCCGCCTACGACAGTCGCACGAAGCGACTTCACGTTCCAGACCGGCCCCGTGTCTAGCAACGACAAGACCACCGTTCGCGTATCTAATGAAACCTTCTGGAAAGGTATGAAGGTCTACTTCTCGCACAATCTACGCATCAATGATGCCAAAGGTATCATGTCAAATTACATCACGACGACCGCTCGCACCTTCACTCTCTCCAACCAAATTACCAAGCCGGGCGTCACCGTCGAAGAAATGAGAAGGCTCATGGCGCCGCTCATCAAAGATCTCAACGATGTTGGCATTTCACTCGTCAACCCCGAGCCAAAGTTCTGGAGCACATATGCAAAGTTCGGTACCATGCCCGGCGGTCCAAGCGGTGGTACTAGTAACAGCCGTCTTGTGAGCCGGCTTGTTCCCCGATCCAACTTCGCAGACCCAACCTCGCAGACATTCAACACCACCATGGCAGCGATCCGCTCATTCATGGAAGAAGGCGGTTACAGCTTCCACTCCGTGGACTACGCACCAACACTCGAAACAGCCGGCTATCCCGGCTCAGACTCTGCTGTCTCGCCGCACTTGCGCAACGCAGTCATGCATATGACCGGCTTCGATAGTCGGCAGTACGATGCTAGCCTTTCTGATGAGCTCTGGAAGTCATCGCATGCACGCCTCGATTCGTACGTGCAAAAGCTCAGAGATGCGACGCCGCTCAGCGGTGCTTATATGAACGAGGCGGATGTTGCGGAGCCGAACTTTCAGTATAGCATGTATGGTGATAACTACGATAGGTTGCTGAAGATCAAGAAGGAAAGAGATCCATGGGGTTTGTTCTATGTGGTTACGGGTGTGGGTAGCGAGAGTTGGTTCGTTGAAGGGACAGGAGGATTGCCTACGCAGCAGGGTCGACTATGTAGGGTTGATGCATAGGGTACTTCGGCTGAAGAGCTTGACAGATGTTGTACATGGGCGGTCACGCACGTAGTCACGATACAAGACCGAGGAAAGCGGGAAGGCACCACACGACTATAGTCATACGGACAAGGAGATCGTTGCAACATACAAGGTCTTATTAGGTATACATGCTTTTAGACACTCGACTATCTACAATGAAGTGCATGCTTGTATTAGTCTTGCCCAAATACCACAGGCCATGTAACAGGAAGTCTTTGAGACCTAGACATCGTGACTTTGGAGAACTGACTTAGCAGACGAGAACCATGGCAATCAGGGATACCATCTGCCTTTCTCCAGGTGATCCACCAACTTCTCGATGAGGTCCCTCTCCTTCTTGTATAAGCGCATCGTCCTCTTCCAAGTTGCGCCACCTCGCTTGTGTCGATGGATGTTGCCAAGCCAGTGCTCCACGTCAACTGAATCGTAGCTTTGTAGAGCCATTCGTACCGCTATGATGAACATATGTGCGAAGTCGAGCATGGTGACACCGGAGGAATTGAGAAAGCTTTGAGCCATGTCCGGGCCTCCAGGTAACCAGATAGCAACAGTGAGCTCGGTGACGGCAGGTGAACAGATTTGGACAGTGTTCCAGGTTTGCTTCGACTGGTCGGCGCTCCTAGCATGGACGACAGTCTCGAGGAATGTTCGGATATGTGTGAAGTAGTCGCAGGCCTCAGGGTAGTTGTCGCCAAGAGCGAAGATGAGGTGTTTTCCGTAGCCGGTGAAGACAACTGAGCCTTTTCCTTTCCACGATCGGCGAAGTAGCGGATTCGCACGTGACATGTCGAGTAGGGACTCGTAGGGACGCGAGTCGTAATCGCTGCCATCGTACATGCGCTCTTCACGGCCCATGTTAGTCGTCAAGCGCATCAACTCTCCGTCGTTGTCCAGCCTCTCGAAGTAATCTTGGATAGCCTGTTTGTATTGACCGCGACGAGACATTGGGTTGTCTGCGAAGAAGGCGCGAAGAGTAGCCGGTGTCACCGCTGTCATGTGGCTGATACTCCTAGTATGTCGCGATCGACTCCAGTCTGCAACTAGAGGTTTGCCCAAGTCGGGAAGGCCCGCCCCCAGAAACAGTCGATGGTCTGTCTCCTCTTCGCTCATGTTGTCGGCGACCAAGAAGCACTTCTTCTTAATTGCAGTTGATCCCTGCACACAATCCCGCCAGAACTTGGAGACCGCTTGAGCGCTCTTGAGAATATCTCCCGGGCTTAGGTTGCGGAGCACAGTCTCGAGGAGTTCGGTGACGCCCAAGACGCGGGCGGGATCGCCGTGTGCGAGTAGAGGAGAGTTTATGTCGTCCATATCGATCGTTGCGAGCCTACCGATGGTCGAAAGCGAACGTTCAATAAAGCGCGTAGAGGTTGTATTTTGAGAGGTAAGTCATTTGGCCGTGCGACGCAATCGTTTATGTGGGTTGCCAAGCCTGAGCACGAGCCAGCAAAGTGAAAGACAGCTCGCGAGACAAACCAGGCGTACAGTGAGACTGCTTGTACTAACACAAACTTGGTTCAGGCTTGGCCCAAGTAGAAGTAACCGACTGGGTCCAGTAGTCTCGTGAGCTCGTTAGCCGCGGCAAGATCTTGTTGGGGGACGTAAAGCGCGTTCGAACGCCCAGCAAATTCGAGCCGCTCGACGAAGTACCTGACGAGAAGTAACAGAAGATCGTCAACCAGTACACCAGTAGCGCGACGGAAGCTTTTGAAGCGATGGACAAAGTGTACCCGGGTAGAGCGGTTTGAGATCTCCCGGTGCATAACCAAGCTGACGGTGGTGAAAGCGGGATTCGAGAGCGTAGATTTGATCCAACTAGCGGTAGGGCTTCTCTGTACCTCGAACAATATGTCCTCGATCGCTCGCGAGATATTGGTCGAGGAGAGGCCCAATTTCGAAATGGGTAAGGGGTCCTCCATGAATACTATTGCATGGGAGCCAAATCCAGTCCAAAAGAAACCATCTGAAATCCAAAGATTGCGGGCGATGAAAGGGTGTATGGCTGATGGACGGACTTGGGTGATAGGAGCTTCCCAGTCCCAACCTCGACTTCCGGGTTTCAATCTTGGGAGCCGATCTTTGCCTGATGGAATATAAGCTCTGCTGACCGCAGCTTGATCTATGTAGTAGGACTCCGGAAGAACAAAACATCTGATGGCTGCGAGATTCAGAAAAATAAAAGGTCGGTATTTGTATCCAGGAATAGGGACTCCTCCGCGCCCCTCATGAGATCCATACGCGGGAAAGATATTGCTTAAGGGGAAGTAGAGCTTGCTATCGGCTTCATCTTCTTCGACTCGGTTGGCGTCAAGCAAGAAGATCTGTCTGAGAACGGACGAACTGTTGATGCAATTATAGAAGGTACTGGACACCATCTGTTTGTTCGACAAAGCATCTGTCGAGCTGAGGTGTTGCAAGATATTCTCGAGAAGTTCCGCGATGCCCAGGGCTTGATGAGTAGCGGTAAGCGTTGACGCCATCTTGACGGTGGTAATGTGTAGGTGATGAGCTATACTTTCGACTTCTGTGGATTTTCGGACGACGTGTCGAGAGCAGGTCGGCACAGGAATGAGAAAATGGAGGCCAGGAAGGAAATTTCAGCACGTCGTGACTGTGTCATCAGCGTACGGTGCGGGTGGCTTCCTCTCGCTACCAGGGAATGTCAACAGGTCTTTCAAACCCGCACAGCTCGCAAAGACGAGCATGCCGCGCGAAACATCGGTAGCGCAGCAATTCGCCGTGCGTTGAAAGCGGTACCGATATATTCCACATGGTGAGGCTGGGCAAAAACGCGCTGCACGAACGCGTAACGGTTGCGATCATCGCTCAAATCAATGCAACATCGTAAATGCGCGTTAAATTCGCGATAAAGACGAGGCGATAATGATGGTATCTTATAGAGGAAGAGATGCGAAGGAGTAGTACGTTCGATCGAATTATGGTGACGCGATGCACGCGTCTCAGGAATTAGCGCCGGAGTTTTGCCGATCTCCGAACGAAGCGACCAGCTGCGCGCCATCCCCTCCCACCTTCAACCCCCAGTAGTGAGTCTGCTATCTCCGATAGTCAATACATGTATCATCCGGGTTAAGCACATGGTCTCTCTGCTCTATCATCATCGATTACATGCATGAAAGACCATCACGATGTACCGGAGTCTTACAACACCAGCATCACCGCTGTCATCACACCGGCCGCCCATCCCACCATCCTAGCACTGATATCAGCCCCAGCACTATCCCACGGCGTCTGCTCCTCCGGTACACGGCTTCCCTCCACGGTGTCGTTCGCATTCATACACACGAACTCGACGCTGGTCTGCACCAGATTCGAGTCTGGGTCAACAAATCGTCCCAGTAGCACGACTGGAATCGTCTGGCGCACTAAGAGATCATACGTCTCATTCGCAGGGGCGTAGAAGTTATCGGACGGGCTGACGCCTGCATTTGTCCCGAACGTGTTGTAATTGTCTGGAATTTGCACCTCCTCGGGCATGTTGTTGTAGGCGCACGTGCTGTTGGTCACGTCTTGACGGACTGTGTCTGTGCGAACTTGTCAGCTATATGTACAAAGGCTGCAGCTCCCGAGCCGCAAGTCAATCGTATCTGTTGTGCGCGGGAGAAGAAACAAGAAAGAGAATAAGGGAGGTTTGTACAGATGCAAGGGAAGGAACGTACTGTGTGAACCGCCACTCAACATTGGACACGCCTTCTTGAACTCATCTGATACGGACGAAGTATCTTTACTAGGACAGTAATTCGAGGCACCAGAGGTATCACTAAGTGCCTTGTTTAGGTGGTCCATGCAGTCGGAGCTGATCACACCGCTACAGCTATTCTCCCCTCCGGCTTCTAACGTCGCATTGATGTTGCTGTACTGATACTTGCAGAGCTCGGTACCGTTGGGCACGTTTCCAGGTACGGAGATGTAAACATGTCCTCTGACATCGTCATAGCGAGATCCGACGATGACAGAGACATACCACGGGTCGTCGCCGGCGTAGGAGGAGTTCCAAGTAAATTCGTGCTGGCCGGTTGAGTTCACGGCCGTGAATTCGTCGAAAAAGCCTCGACAGGAGGAGTTTTGCGCATTGACGACCGCTGTGGTGAGGAGTCCTGATATCGTAAGGAGCAGCAACTTTGGGTTGTTAGAGGTCCACATATTGACGTAGAATAAGAGTAAAGCCGTAGACGTTTGGTCGTTTGGACTTGCGAGAATGCATCTATATGTACGTGGCGCGGTTAGGCACCCTATGGGAATGACGTACTAGCCGAGAGTGTGGTTAAAACACACCGATCGACAGAGCTCGGCATGCCTTACCCGTCTAAACGAATATTGTGTGGCTGTAAATCCATGTCGTAATGAAGTTAACAATTTGCAATTATTTGCGCTGCGCCGGCGGAGAGCAGTGCCCGTAAGCGCTGGGGCTGACTCAATCCTGCGCTAACGGATACTCCGACGGCGCAATAGTACTACAACACGAAGGTTTCCCCGAAACAATGCTGTACATAAGGAACTACGATACATCGTTGTCTTATACTAGAAGGAGAACAACAACGACAGCAAGAAAAAGGAAGATATGCCATCCATCAAAACCCAGCAATCAACCTGCTCCTTGCCATGCCGCCTACATCGCTCTTGCGCTTCGGCTTCTGCGGCAGGTCATCAACAATGAAGTCGCCAAGTTCATCTTCATCGTCGTCATCGTCGCGCGCATCCTTCGTATCGTTGGCAACACTCATCTTGACAAACTTCCCATCGCCTGATGATGCCTTGCTGGCGCCAGTCTTTCTTGAGCGCGAAGAAACCGCCGGTGCATGCTTGGATTTGGCCTTCTTGGGGGCAGAAGGGGAACCAGAATCTATGTTGCCGCTTTTCTTTCGCTTCCGCTGCTCTTGCTCTTTGGCTTGCTGCTCTTGCTCTTTGGCTTCAGCAGCCTTGTTCTCAGCCTGCTTCTTCTCCCATACCAGCTTCTCGGCCTTGACGCGCGCATCTCGTTTTGCAATCATATGCATCTCACGGATCGCTTGTTGCTGCTTCGCCTCTGCTTCAGCTCGCGTACGCTTCAGCCCCTCGTTGTAAAGCTTCACTTCGCCCTGTGCAAAGTCGGCGGCTCTGAAGCGGCAACCGAGTACCTCCATTAGCTTGGCGTAGGCCTCGTCGTCGATGATCAAGATGTTTACGAGGTATGTCTTATCCCCGTTGTCGATCTCAAGCCCTCGGATCTGCGCTTCCTCGAGAAGCTCTTGTTGCTTCATTACCTCGTATGAGGATTTCGCTAGGCGCTTTGGCTCCCTCCATGGGTTGTGCGCAACAGCCATGTACCGATCGATGGCTTGACGCTGTTGCGGGTGACGAGCGACTGCGCGCTGTCGAAGTGATGGCGCCGAAGTTGATGTAGTCTCCGCGACGGCACGCTTTCGCGCAGTCGCTGACTTGATCTGGGTTGTAGTCTTCTTAATGGAGGGTTCCACGCCGTTGATCTCTGCGATGAGCGATGTAAACATCTTGCTAGTGTGAAAGATTAGCTGAGAAGGAGAAATGTTTGTTGCTACGGCGACTGGGTCGTTGAAAGTAATCCAAGAGGTTCGGAAGCGGTCAGTTGAGAAGGGGAGGCAAGTGGGCGGCGAAGAAGGACAAGCATGCATTCATTAGGGAGAGCTCTCACTCAGGTTAGTGGATGCAGGTGATGTGATACCAAGTCTCTGGAAGTGAAAGTGAATGTACCACGTTCGGAGAGTGCGGCAGAGCACGGGAGAAGGGAAAGCGGGCAGATCAATTTCACAGCGTTGGCAATATTGTGGTCATTAACGGCATTGTAAGAGGTCTGGTAGTAACATTGGTTGAGTGAAGACGACTTCGTTGGCGAAATTGTGGGACGACTACACCAACACCAATGGGTTTGCTGCGATGACCCACACGAACTCCAAAACAAGCGGTTCACCTTCAAGCCCCTGACCTTTCACCATCTCCGCATACCACCTGACCTCCCTCCTGCGAAGCGGCGACAGCAATATCCATAGCTTCACCTTCATCCTCCTCCTCATACGCCCTACACTGGGCGATCCATGCCCTCCTGTCTTCCTCCTCCTCCACCCTCCTCTGCTCCTTCCCCTCCTTCCACGCCCTCCTCTCCTCAGTCATGAGGCACACCAATCTGATCCTCAGTTTCCATTCGCTCAAGCTCTTTTCCTCTCCCTCGTCGAGGTGTTCTCGTTTGAGGAGTTCATGCTGCATTTGCAGCTTCGTCATTTCGTTCCAGCGCGACAGGCGCGACAGTGTGGCGCCTTGGTGGTAGTATAGTGTGTCTGCTAGATGGTGCAGACTCACTCCGCGGCGCCGTTGTTGCATCAAGATGCGATGTTGAGCGGGGTGAAGCGTCGCGAAGACGGCTTGGAGAGTGCGGTAGGGGAGGAACTTGAAAGCGAGTTTGATGAGCTTTTCGGGTGCCAGTCCGTGGACGGTTGATAGGCGTTGGCAAGACATGTTGTGGTTTTGGGTTGTGCTTGCTTGTATTGTGGATGTGGTTGCGTGTTGCAAGAAGAGTTTGGAATAGTATGTCTTTGGGCTTTGGGACATGTGTGGATGTAATCGAATGGAAGGATAGAGGAGGCAGGAGATGTGAGTTTATATACTATCTGAAGAACATTGTAGAAGAGAAATGGTGTCGCGTGCGTTCCGTGTTTGCGCATCCAAAACATGAGCAGATAGACTCACCCTGACCGTGTGACCTTATACCTCTACCAGTGGCAAGTATTCTTATTCCTCTTAGATAGCCAGTCGCAAGACCAAAGAATAATCCAACATATCCAAGTGGCACTTTAAGCGAGCAAAACATATCAGTGCCAGGAACGCAGTGACTCACAATGCGTAGCATTGAGTCAAGGTGAGGATCGTTATTTGGTTCAGGCTCCTGCTACCGGACAATGACTACGTCTGGCAGTAGACTGGTCTATTTTGCTAAGGCTGACACACGGTTCACCATGCGAGACCATGGTTTCCAAAGGGATGTAGTCTTCGTGTATCGTACTAAGCCTTTCGGAAAGGTAGCTTATAGAACTGCTGCCAATATTGACGTTCAGCGCAAATGTGCTCTCGGTCATTACCTCCGTACGCGCACAGGTGACGCGCTCGAGCTAAGCGAACTGAGATTGCGATCACGAGGTCTACCCAGGAACCTCTTTCCTCGCTCTTTCTGTTATCTGCAGTCTGGTTGAGGGACGCAATCATCGATAGAGGATCATTTTGTTGCGACGTTGTTAAATTACTAAGATATAAGCTTTCTGTCTAACATACTATACCTAGTTAACCATGGTACCGTGGTGACCCGACGCACACGAGCGACTCACACGTTCCGAAGTCCGCATGTACCCAACATGAGAACTGACATATTATAAGAAAGAGAAGCTAACACCGGATACATATGTATTCCTATCGGCGACTTGTGAAGCGCAACTATTCTTCTCCACCATTCTGTCCCACTTAAGTACGCTCTTGCACCCCTTCTAAGAGCTCTCCTACTAGTCCTCCTCATCATAGAACGCATACTCTACCGACTCGGTAATCAACTCGCGCGCCGCAGAAAGAACCTGCGTAACAGCCTGAACAACCGTGCTCGTAGTCGTCGGCGCATACGCAGACGCAGTAGCAGCCACGGTGATTGTTGGCGTAGCCGCCAGCGTAGTACTCGGCTCGTGAGACTTGGGTGGCCAGACAAACGAGTTTGGGATAATGGGCAGAGAGGCGAAACCAAGTTGCTTCATCTCGGGCTCGCAGTCTTCGCCTTGACAGCGCACGAGACCGAATTCGGTGCGCAGCTCTTCTTCGGTGGGTAGGCGAGACGAGTTTCCTTCGTCGACGTAGAGGTCTTCGGGGCTGAAGCCGAGGCCTCGCTTCATCTTGACGGCGGGGGGCCCCGGAGGGTAGCCCAGGCCAGCATAGTCTGGGTTTCCGTAGTTTGCCGTATGTCTCTTGCGGGGACGGTTGGCTGCACGATCGTACCAAGGATCGTTGGTCATGAGAGCGAAACCCGGGTCGTCCACGAGGTCCTTGGGCCAGCACGGATTGGCCGTGATCCCTTGATCGACAATATCTCTCGGCATGTTTGAGAATTCCAGGCTGAAAATCTGGAGCTGTGCGTACTCCGTGTGGTCCCATTTCTCGACGACTTTGCCATTATCACACTTGACTTTTTCAACCAGGCTCTTTACCGTCTTAGTAGCCACTTTGTCGTCGCAGATACGGCTGAACAGGTGCCCGGCGTCGCCGTTTTGCCCAGAGGGAATGAGGCGAATCCACACATTTCTATCGCGAGCTTGCCAAATCACGGCGGGTGGGAATTCGTCCCGCTGGCAGGACAGGTTTGGGTCACCTTGCATGTGACCCTTGATCCACTCGGTCTTGTGTTGGGTGTAATAAGAATCTTTAACCTCGCGAATGTTAATGCCATCTTTACCATCGCACGTCAATCTTCTGAGAGCAGGTCGACGGCTTATAACAGAACTGTAGTGCAGACAAGCCTGGCCCATGGAAATCTCCCCGCTGTCTTCACTGTAGATACAAGTCCTAACCTTGATATCTTCATGAGGATCTCCCTGTATTCTGTTGATCTTTGTTAAGGGTCTTAATGGGCGGGCACGTTCCGCGAGCTTGGGGTCGACCTTGGAGCACCTTGCCGCAGGTTTCGTGAAGGTGGCGGGTGGATCGCGGTCCTTTTTGGAAGTCAACGGTTTGTCGAGCTTCACATCGTAATCCTTTCCGCGGAACTTGAAGACGGATTTGCCTGCTTTTGCAATGCCCTTGGCGCAAACTTTAGCAAGAGCTGGAACGGCGGCTTGGACGGCGAGTCGTATGATCCATCCTGCATCACTCAAGTTAGAAAACAGCTCAGGTCAAAGAATGGAGCAACTCACCAATAAGGGGGATAAAGGTAAGCGGTGTCAAGGCGGCCGTGATGGCAATTCTGCAAAAGGCCGTGGCAGCGACCTCCAAGGCTAACGCTTCGGCTGCTTCCAAAGCGGCCTCTTTGGCCTTGTCCTTGACCTCATCTTCGACCTGCTCTTTAGTAATAGGGGGCTTGAAGCCAGCACAGCAGTAACTCTGTGTTCCTCCAGAGCATGTCTGATCCTCGGTGCTCGAGTGGTGATTGGTGTTCTGCGTGATCTCCGTTTCATCTTTGGCACAGCCACCGGTGCAGCTCAGGCCAAGACCACGGTAGCCGCGCCATCGGCACTTGCCCATATTAGTGCCTTTGGCGCAGCACAGCCGACGGAACTGTCCTTTGCCACAACGGTCCATTGTTGAAAGCGTCCCGGGTTGGCCGTTCGTTTGCGAAGCCTCGTATTCTCCTGACGCGCATTTCTCGCCGCATGGCGTCGTGTAGCAAACGCCCTGGGCGGCTTCGTCTTGGATGAAAATCTCGGCTGCTGCAATGTCGTCTTCGGTCCATTCGTCGGGGTAATTCAGGCTTTTGTCGTTCTGGTCGACTTGATCGATAGCCCAAACCATGAGTCCATCTGCAAACGCATCGTCAGTATGGAAGTTGCACATGTTTTTGTCACTCCTTACGCAAGCACCGCGAGTTCGCGAATTCTGCCTTCTGCCTAAAAGTATCTTGGTCGTCGTACGAAACCCATTGATCATTGTCCCATTGTATCCCTGTCGCGATGATTAGCGAACCGTTTGTGGAGCTTTTTCTGCTCTTTCCTCGTACATTTGACTCCGGCTTTCAGATCATGGACCGGCTTGAGGTTCTTCTCCTTGATGAGCTCTTGGATCTCTTGTAGAGTAAGAATGCCGGAAGCCTTCGAACACCGACCCTCTTTGGCACCTCCAGAGAACGTGCATGAGCCGTCTGGCTTGTTGCAGCTCGGATCGGTGAGGGTAAACGAGCGGCCGTAATCTGCCCAACAAGTCAGATGATGTAGACGCAGAATGTGAGCAAAAGCAAACTTACAGCCTTTTCCCAAGACAACTTTGTTTGGTTTGACCCCCGCGCGCCAGAGGAGGTCCAAGGCCATGTTGATCTCAGTGATGTTGGTGTGAGTTGCGAGTTTGGGCCCAGTGTATTTCGATGCGGCGTCCCAGACACCGTGAAGGTCATATGACATCACGTTGAGCCAATCAACAGACTCTTGATGCTTGGACACGTCGAAGTGTTGCAGGTACCAATAGGATGCCGGCAGCGTTATGGTATAGCCGTACTTTCCACGAAAGGCATCCTTGATGTCTTTCGACAGCAGAACGAAGTTGGCTGAATCGCCGGCCTTGCCTCCGCGATCATCTTCCAAATGTCAGTACTGGGTGAAAGCGACGGAGATGCAAATCTTGGCTCACCAGCGGTAGGGTATTCCCAGTCCAAGTCAGCTCCATCGAATCCGTATGTGTCCATAAACTTGATGAGCTTGTTGATGAAGGTCTTGCGATTTGCTGCTGTACTGGCCATGTTGCTGAAAGCCTGTTGGTATGGGCCGGCTAGATTACTAAAGTCAGTAAATACTAGTGGGTTCGAACAAGTATCACTTACGATCGTTGAAGGACCATCCACCCACGCTGACCCAAGTTTGAAGTCCAGGCTTCTTCTCTTTCAACTTGGTGAAGCGACTCAGCAGCTTGCCCGCGTTCTTGTCCATTGGAACAATGTCGAAAGTGGTGGGATGGAAGAAGACAAAGGCAAAATTGAGGTGCGTAAAACCATCAAGATTGAGGTCTTCGGGAGACACCTTGCTGCATGCCCTAGTGTTGGCCCACGATTCGTAGTAGCCAATGTTTATGCCATCGACGCTACCACCATCTTTGCTGCAAGATGGTCGCTTGACGTCGCCGCAGCCTCCAAAGTCCTTCTGGCATCCCTTGTCGCAAAATAAGGATGTCGAACCGCAAAACCTACGTGCCAACGTCAGCTGCGAGAAAGGAGCGGTCGAGGTAATCACACGTACCCAAACTCGGAGCAACAGACTCCGAGCGGACACTGCTGCTTGCCAGGCTTGCCGTACTGGCCGCACTCTGCTTTGGCATCGCAGTTAGAGGAGCAGTTTCCGGCTCCGCACTCCGAAGGAGAGTATCCGCACAGTCCGGAGACCTATCTCATATCAGTGTTTGGTCTTGGATCAATACCAGCTACTTACACTACTACAGCATGCACCATTCACACATGGCGTTTGATCGTTGCAGGTACCGGTAGGAAGATCCAGAGCCTGAGCTGGGATATTGTTCCTCAAGATACCAAATGCCGAATTGACAAGGAAGTACGATTGTTCCACCTCGCCGTCGAATGTCTCGTTCTGGAAAGCAGAGCCATTTTGACCGCTCACAAGGCTAATTTTGAGCCAAAGGCCGAGGACTAAGCCCTGAAGAAGTGCAGACCGCATATTGAGTGACCGAATGTAAGGGGAACTTGGGGGTGCGTTTTCTCACTGCTCAAGAAGTATGGCGAAAGCCGTTAGGAAATGTGAATGAGAGGAGAATGTGGTCCGTATTGCCAAACGCTTCGGCGTCCCGGGTAGACCCGCCATAATCGCATCGATACTGTTCTCGCCAAAGTAGATCAACACTCGCACATGTCGTTGTAGGTATTGGGCTTGCGCTACCGTCCATGTCGCCTAACGCTAGAGTACGGTCCGGTAGATGAAAATCCAGACGGAGGATCCTTAGATTGAAGCTCCTTCCAAAAGAGAACAACCTCCGGCATGCTAGTGCACAAGTTGATACTCAATGCTAGCGTGAGGCGTGGGTCTTCCGACGATAAGACTGGGCGGAACATGGATTGGACAAAAATCGAGCGGGACATCCGTGCCAGCCTCGCCACGGGCATAACCGCGCAACCGCCTAAATGCGCGACAGCCTAAGACAGGCGGCACATAGACGCCAGGATGCGTGCGAGCGGGTTCCATGCCGCATATCCACTATGTATGCAAGGTACTGAAGGATGCCAAGGATCTAGCTGACCACCTTCCAAGTTCCCGCACGGCTGCTAATTGATTGATTAGCCAAAGTGAAGATCAGAGAAAGTTGTAACTCCGGCGGAGCATTGCATACTAGTGTCCACTCCTATCGCCCTGCAATGACTTATTTCTGGCGTTCTGATGGCTCGGCCGGGGTATCCGCGGAGACCAAACCTCGGAAGGCTGGTTATGCTACCTCGACCAATCCCCAATTCAAGCACTCTCTCATCGCCGCATACTCAGCTCTAAGAAACGGTCGAATTCGTCCTCTACTTAGGTCGAAGTTCTTTGCAGATAGATTCAGCGGCCACAATGTTTTCTCACAACCCTGTTCGCCGCGTGCTGATCAACGTAGGCTTGATGGCTTCCGCCTCAGCCTTTAACCTCTATCCCCTTATCCCGGCAGAAACCATGTCGCAAATTCTAGGGATATCTTCCGGATGTGTATCCGTCTTGTATGTCTTCTCTTCCCAAGCATGCTTCATGAATATCAACTGATTCCTTTCAGAAACACCACGCTGCCATGCGATAACGACTTGATGCAATGGACGCACAAGGTCGACGAAGTGTACTGGCAACCAGCCGATGTTACCACACTTTGCACCGCAAGCTGTATGTCCGATGCAGCAGACTGGCGGCAGAATGTCGCAACAGCTTGCGTTGACGACTATTACCGCTCGGGCGACCGATACGTGCCCGCCGAATCGCTGAGCGGTCGTATCTTGGAGGGACTTGATATGGCTTGTATGCGCTCATCGTCTAATGAGTGGTGCCTAGTCGAGTCCTACGAATGGACTGGCTCAGATGTGATCCAAATGGATTGCGAAGCAAACCCCAATGACCCATGGTGTCTCAATCGCGCCGACTTTGGCGCAAACCAGAGCCGAATGTCAACGTTATACGATGACGACTTGTTGTGCTCCGAGTGCTTTCTCAAGATGTTGCATGCCCGCGTAACATCGGATTACCTGCAAGACACAGAGTTTGGCGACTATCTCGTCGAACAGTTTCAAGATGTTCAAGACGTTTGCAAGACTACTGTTGGCGAGCTCGTTACCAGGATTGGCCCAGCCTATGCGCGCGTGACGGATGAGCCCGAGATGGCACTCCCGTCAACTACCGTATCGACTACTAGTAGCGCGCCCACACCCACGTCGACAGTATGCAGAGGCCGCATGGTGGATCTACGACCCGATCGTGAAGAGGAGCTCAATTGTGATGAGATTGCGGAGAAGTACCAGATCGCCTCGCTGGAAGCGGCTGTTGCAACGAAGAATGAGTTCTGCGATGCGGATGGAGAGGTGTGCATACCTCTTGCTTGCACATTGTACCGAGTCTTGACCAACGACACGTGGTAAGTATCTCTGCTACACACTCTCTCGTATCAGCTGCTCACTACTGTGAATTAGTGAGTCAATTGCTCAAGGTCTTTCGAACACGACAAATGAAGTCACGCTCGCTCAGCTCGCAAGCTGGAACCCCAACATTATGGGTGCTTGTGACCACCTATTGGTTGGTCAGGCAATCTGCTTAACGTATGTCAGCCCTGTAGTCTCCCATCCATTGAATAGAAGCTGACAAGTATACCTTTAGTCCTCCAGGCGGTGCTTGGATCAGTCCACCAGCCTCAGAAATCCCCGACGATGGCGAGGGACCAATTCGCGGCGGTCCAGGAAGTACGGCATCCCTTCCCATAATCGAAGACGGTGGAGAAATACCTGCCGATAGCATACAAGAGGGTATAACATCCGGTTGTACCCGCTGGATCATGGCCAATGACACCCAGGCCGCATGTTGGAAGCTTGCATACGATGCCAAGATCAGCGTACAGAGATTGTGGGAGCTGAATCCGGTGCTCGGTAGTGCTGGCGAGCGATGTGCTTCGCAAGTCTGGCTCGGCTACTACTATTGCGTTGCCACGAGTGGTGATGGCACGTCGCCATCACCTACATCTACGAAGCCTAGCACGAGCCCAAGTTCGACAGCGCCGATTACAAAGCCAACACAAACACAGTCGGGTATCGATCCTAATTGCAACAAGTTTGCGACAGGAGCAAGCTGTTGGGAGATTGCCAACAGTGCCGGAATTGAGCTGTCACAGCTGTATGGATGGAATACTGTGTTGGGCGCTAACGGAGAGAACTGCGGAACTCAGATCTGGGCCGGATATTACTACTGTGTTGGCACTGCCACCCCCACGACAAGCCAGCCGGCAACAAGCACGGTGGTTGCCCCGCTCCCTACGCAGACTCAGGGAGGCTTCCCCGCAAACTGTAAGCGGTGGATGGTTACTAAGAGTGGCGATACCTGCTGGAGTATCGGTAACGACAACGGTATTGCCCTCGAAGTGCTGTATGCCTTGAACCCGGTCCTGGGCTCTGACGGAGAGAACTGTGGAACTCAGATCTGGCCAGAGTATGCTTACTGTCTTGCTATATAACTTCGTACATGAGGCTGTTTGTTCGTCTCGAACGTTCGGAAGCGGTGGTAATGCGTGTGACCGACCCAAATAAGAAGATAGGAGAATGCGTAGTCATCTATCGTGAGATTTGTCACTTTGTGCTGTCAGCGCTTCCATTCTTGGAACGCAAATCATACGTCTTGTCAACTGCTATAAAACGCCTTTGTGCATGTTTCCTCGCGGCTTCTTCTTTCCGTTCCGCTTCTTTGCGTTTAGCGTCGAGACGTTCTTGTTCGAGAGCTTTGAGATACTCTGCCTTTCTGAAAGCTGAGGGCCAACCATACTCTTTCAGCAAGCGCTTGGGTAGCTGTTCATTTGCTTGATGAGTCTTCCGGTCACGTTCGCCGAGAGGATCGCACTCACCTTTGCATTGTTGTCTCGATGATCCACCATCTCGTTGTACCATGCATCGCTACCTCGCGTCAATGGTACAGGAACGGTGACCAAGGTTTCGATCTCGTCGTAGAGCTCATCGAAGTACTGCTGAACCTCTCGAGGCTTTGCGGCCTGCCGCCAAAACTGGTCATCTGGTGCACTACGGTCTACAATGAACGGTCCCATGGGCCAGATTATCCCTAGTGAAACCTGTCAATATCCGGTGATGCACGTTGTATGCGGCTCATACCTTGGTCCGTATCTATCATCCACACTGTCGCTTCGTTGCCCTGACTCAACGGTATCATTCCAGCAGGTATTTCCTGCCCCTCTCCGCATGGCGACATACGCCTGATAGCCTTCTTTTTGTCCGCATCTTTCAGCCAGCCATAATTGCGAAGGTAATTGCATGCTTCCGTTACAATATAGACCTCGTATTTAGAGTCACCCATATTCTTGCTCAGATAAGGCAAGTGACGCAAGAGATCAATGACTCTGTCCGACCGTTTCCACTCTTGTAATGTGTCAACAGCGAGCTGCTCATCAGTCCAACCTTCAGGCGGCGGGCGGAGGATCGTGTCCGGGTCGAGGTAGGCCATGCGCACGAGCAAATCATAGTGCCTCTCGATGCAACTGACGACTACATCGCGATTGTAAGGCATGGTGTGGATGATGGGGTTGTAGTGTAACGCTAGACAACTGGAACGTGGCTAGATCCATTCTACCCGTGGTCCGCCCGAACATCGGCAAAAGTTGCCGCCGACGACCTCGGTCTGTTTGTCCTGTTTGCACGCGACAGCCTAACTTTATGGACAGACAGCAACACTGAAACACTCCAACCCATAAGACAACATACGCCCGACTCTCTCCAAGCTAATCGCATAACAATTCAAACACTTTCACGAAACCGTCACATCGCCGACATCCTCGAAACCGTGCCTTTCGCCGAAACCACCAGACCAGCGGTCAACGCCGCATACAAACGGACCTCACGAGCGGGCGGACAAGACACAGGGAGAACAACATGGGCGGCTACTTATCGACGTTTACAAAGCTGATATGGGCGAAGAAGGAGATACGGATACTGATTCTGGGGCTGGTATGGACACCTCAGCATGCCAGTATGGAGGCATGGTGCTGATTACAAATGCAGGATAACGCTGGAAAGACGACGCTACTATACAGACTAAAGGTATGCGATATCCAAGGAGGAAAGAAAGGAGGCATGCGAATATGGAAACAATATGCATCCTGGGTCTGGACACGAGGTACACGGAGGCTAACAAGCCCTCCAGATTGGCGAGGTAGTCACAACGATACCAACAATAGGCTTCAACGTCGAATCCGTCACATACAAGAACCTCAATTTCAACGTCTGGGTAAGTTCACCTCCCACCTCCCCCTCCTCCAGAACCACCTACCTTCCCCCATCTACAGCCACCATCTAACACACCACCCACCCAGGACCTCGGCGGCCAAACCTCCATCCGCCCCTACTGGCGCTGCTACTACGCCAACACCGCCGCCGTAATCTTCGTAATCGACAGCACAGACATCGAGCGCCTCACGACCGCTAGCGAAGAACTGCGCGCCATGCTCAACGAAGAAGAGCTGCGCGACGCCGCCCTCCTCGTCTTCGCAAACAAACAAGATCAACCGGGCGCAAAGGGCGCGGGCGAGATCAGCGAGGCGCTCAAGTTGGGGGAGCTCAAAGACCGGAATTGGAGTATTGTGGCTTGTAGTGCGGTGGATGGGCGGGGTGTCCAGGAGGGTATGGATTGGCTGGTGGGGAATGTTGGGGAGCAGAGTTAGGAGAGGTGGGATGGAAGGGGATATGAGGATATACGTGCGATGGAGTTGAGGATGAGACGGGAGCGGGGACATATGACGCGGCACGTACGCGTCAGAAACGGATTATTATACCAGCATAATGGCGTCTCGGCGCTAGGGTTGTGAATACGGGGTGGGGAGTCAACGTCAGTAATTGCATGCGCGTTCTTTGATGTCGATGGAAAGGGAGATGCATTATATCGTGTGACGACGCGTCTAATAAACCTCCCACGTCAGATCTCTACCTGGTCTCAGCCGCCCCTCAGTCCAATCCTTGCCAAAGACGTACGCGCTGCTGATCTCTTCTTCGTCGATGCCCAAGTGATCTTCGCCGTCTCTACCCTGGAACCAGCCCAACGCGTACGTCTTCCCACTCTTCTCGAGGTGCTTCGTCATCTCCCTTGAGTTCAGCTTTTCCGTGTCAATGAAGCTGAATAACAACTTGGACTGGTGGATGAAAGCGAGGACGGAGGCCATGGTGCCGATTTCTCTGGGCATGAACTTCTGACTGCGCCTCGCGTAGGTGAGAAGAGCGATGCCGATGAGATAGATCAGGATGAGCATGGTGAGCGTTAAGCTCGACCAGAAACTGCGAAAGGTTTGCTCCGTGTTATAACGATCAGATGCATCGTCGTTGCTGCCGTCGTGGTCGTCGTCAGATTTTTGACCGCCGAATCCGGGCATAAATTTGTTGCCATCGACGCTGATTGAGGTTACGCAGACCGTTAGGATCTCCGCAAAGATGGATCCAAAGGCGACGAGCATGACAAGGTAATGCCCATTGAAGAAAGCTTCGAAGGGCAGCCATAGAGGATTCGTACCGGCGTAGTCAAGTGTAAGAGTCTTGGCTGGGGCGTGTCGCAGAGAAAGGATATAGAAAGGTTGAAGCATGCGAACGTCGCTATTCATGGTGTTCCAGAGTATGCGAATGACAGTTGCTAGGCCCGTCATCATCCAGGGTACCTTCTGTGTGGCTCTACTCATCGCCTTGACGAATGTGAAGACTGGCACCGCAACGGTGAACAGGATGAGAAAGCCGATGAAAGGCACACCCGCCCAAAGACGAAGCATGAGCGGCCTGGGATCGGAGCCGTGCTCAAGAGTCTTTTCCTTGCTCTTCGTTATGTATTCTCCTTGCCAGAGTGAGCTTTTGTGCAAGATGTATCTTCGTTGGCGAAGCTGCTTGTGTATCTGAGGCAAAGAAGCCTGGTCGAGCCCTTTGAAGTCCGTCAGAATATGGCTTTTCGTAGCCATGGCTGCGATACCCGCGATACCCTTGGGGTCCGACTGCAGGCCGCTCTTCCTCTGCATTGCGTACATCAGCGCTCCTCCACAGGCTGCAACTATCAAAAGGCACGCCGAGAGCGCTCGGGACCAGGCCGGTTCGACTCTCACAGCCTTATAGCCTTTAAGCTTACGGTCTTTCTCAGGTGGCCACATAGTCATAGAAGCACTCTGCAAGACAGGTACAAGACTACTAGCGACCAATGTACCCAGCGAGCTGTAAATGACGGCGTACTGTCTGTGACGCAGTGCTCTTAGCGGTACTAAGAAACTCAAGAAGGTGAGATAGTCCATGTTAAGCGATTCTCCCGCAGTTGCGCCTGTCTTCTTGGATAGCTGGTAAAATGGCTCCAGACGTTTTACCTCGAAATCCGACATTTGCCAGAGGACGCCGTAAAAGACTGAAACGATGATTGGCGCGTACTGCCAGGTGAAATATTGCGTTACAGACAAGTCGCCAACTTTCACGAAATGCCACAACCCGCCTGTCTCAGGATGCGCTTCGACACGGCGTAAGGAAATTTGACATAAGTATTCTTGTACACCAGCGAGTACAAGTGCAAGGACTGTGAGCATAAGGATCCACCACGAGCTCATAGTAAGGGGTCGCCATGAAGGCATCTGGGGATCTGCATGCGTGTTAGATCCTATCTGTCGACACATGTAGGGGGAACTTGCCTTCAGGAAAGAAGTAGCTGGTCTGTGCACAACTGCTGATGAGACCGGCCTCGGCGGTCAGATTTCTCATAGAATCGAAGTCGCGAGCAACTCCTGTGAATTCGCTGATATCGACTGGGACATCTGCTGCAACAGCAACGACTTTGCCGGTAGTCTCAGCCTCGTCTTGGGCTTTTTTGGCCTGCTCGTCTACTACATCCGCTCTTGTCAGAATTCGTCGGTGGCCTGGAAAGAAGCCTGGTACTGGTCCCGCTGGGGTATGCTCAAACGGAACATGGAGCACAGAAGTCATGCCAGCTCCGAGTTGCGCTTCAAGACGCTCAAATTCTGCGGCGTGACTAGCTTCATCCATGTCTCTGTCACGCTCTTGCCCTTCGTGTATGTCCGGTGTCCGCGATTGCGCCTCGAATGGTTTCAGCGGCAGACCGCCTAGCGAGCTCAGATCATATCCGACTGCTTCGTCCCCCTCGTCGACTCCTACAAGGCGTCTTCTGCCGGGTTGTGATTCCTCATCATCCAGTCGGTTGTAACGTCCCCCATGAGAGGCTCCCCTGTGCAACGATGCGATTCGGTCGAGGACCCGTTTGGTCCTACTGTTGCTCTTGCCCAACGACGGTGATGCGCGATCTTGAGTAAACACGCTCGCCACAGGGTTGTATGACGTTTCTTGGGCAAACGAGGGCGGCGCTGGAGCGCGTGGTATGCGATACGAGGGTTCTGCGGCCGGTAACAGAGGCGAGGGAAACGACTGACGTCTTGATGCAGGGGTGCTGCTAGGAGATGCAATTGAGGCGACTGAGGACGGTCGGGACGGAAAGAGTTGCGAGAGCCTGTCGGAGGCGCCAGACGTGTTCTTGCGACGCAATGGTGGCCGAGCGTATATGGGTGGGGTGTCGCCAGTTGTTGGAGAGCCGACGCGCAAAGCAGAGGGAACTGTAATATCGGAGGTTCTCCTACTGTTCGGGGAGCCAACCAGGAGGGGGGATGGTACTCCTTCGACGGATGGTGACCGCATTTCGTTTCGTGTATGCGCGGCTTGCGCTCACGTTCTTGTACTGTACAATGATGTTTGCAATGTGTAGCGACCGTAGGACGAAAGCGAACGGAGTGAAAGGAAAGAGAGAAGCCACAAAAAAAGGCGGGAAATCACCAAACCGTACAAGATGTTGCACGAGGCTGGCGGTACCTTGCAGCCTATGCGTTGCACCGGTCAGCCTGGTTCCATCACACCAATATGCGCCCACGGATGCTTTCGCCCTACTCAGGCAGGAAAAGCTGCTCTAGTGCGGCACACCATGTGCAGTCCAGGCGAAGCGAACGGCTGTCGTGGAATCAAGCTCGCCGTGCCTTTGATTTGCGCTGGCGTCGCGGGGCTTGACGAGCCGCTCAGCTCTATACTAATCAACCCGCGTAACTCCAGATTGAAGGCTGACAGCCTGATATTCGATGTCAGAAAGACGGCGTTGCGCAAAGGCGTCAGTAGCGATGAAGGAGCTCAGAATGTTGAGCGTAACAATAGGGAATGCATTGCTTTCCAGGCTGTAGCAATGCCATCACAACAATCGACCGGTCAGGATTTGGGGGCCAGCTGAGCTAAAAATACGGCGCTGTGCCGCTGCGGTCGAATGGCGTTCGAGTCTCGCCTGGCATTGCCGTCTGAGGCATGCCGGTGGCTTGCGATGGGGGCCAAAAACATCGTCATATCGTATTGGGCACAACGACGGTCGCACGACGGAATACAGATTCGACGTTGTTGGTGTTGAGCAGTTGGAGAAAGAAGGACCGGACTCGGAGCTTGAGGAGATTCCTCTGATCGGCCCCGCTAGGAACGTCACGTGGACGTCCTTCTGGGCAGGCGCTGACGGTAGCA